GCTCACAAAACTACTTAATAATCGTTTCCCGAAACTGATGGCTGACGAGAAGGTGAAGAAAGCACTGGTCGAATGGCTTCTCAGTGACCCCAGTGCTCAGGGTATGCATTGTATTTCAAATGGCTTTCGTTTTGCACAAACTTACTCTTGAATTCGTTTTTAGCCTCAATTCTCAGCACTTATGATGTCAGAGACGACTACTGTTTGACTGAGTTGTTGGCATTTATGAAGAAAACCAGTGCTGAGTATCCGCTTCTCATTGGTGACGACATGTCCACTCAGATTAAGATTAAATTAATCTTATTCTTAGTGAGTATTAACTACTCTTACGGTAATTGTATTAATAAATGGTTAATTATTTGGTCTAATCATTAGGCAAAGAAACACATGAAGAACTACGACTCCACTCACTGTACAAACCTTCCGACCCTACTGTTTGAGGAACCGTTTGATTTGTTTGCTATCTATAAAGCGAAACAAAACAGCAGTTTATAAATTTAGTATATTTTTAATTATAAAGTTGTTTTACTAAAACATAATTTATAGTCTTATACGAACCGACAGCTCAATTACTTGTAATTGTAATGAATTTTTATTGATTTTTATTTGTTTATAAGTTTTATTTTGTTTTCATTTGACTGAAACAAACCTTAAGACATTCTATTCATTCAAATACTCTTTGACTTAACTCCCATTACCGGTAATTGAATTGACTTTGTTTTACTAATCCATTGAAATGAAAGTCATTCCTATATTCGAGTGAATACATTAGAGTGTAAACTATTTTCAAATTATTTGTATATACGGTAAGGCACAGTTAGTATTGTATTAGTCTTAATTTGAATATACGGTAAATACCGTACTGTATAAGTTAATCATAATTATATTTCACAACTGGCTCTAATAGTCTATTAAATAGCAAATTAAACATTTTATTCGTTAATTAAAATATTATTAAAATCCAAATAAATTACTTTAGATAGTACCGTAATACATTGCATACCACTGCATGGTTGGCATCAAATTACTATTTACGGTAATCTAATTCATCTGATTTTGAAGTAACTTGAGCTCGAAGTCGAGTCCTTTTGTATACAACTCTTTGAGACGCTCTTCGTCTTGATTAACCCATTTGTTGATCATTTGTCTGATCTCGTCGTAAACTGTTCTCAAATTCACTTTCTGGAGCATCAATAACTGGAAGAATGGATTATTTTGCTGGAAGCCTTCGACACGGTGTACATAATAGGCAACTTCCATGGGAACCATAAAAGTAGGCATAACTACGGCCAACAGCTCAGCCAATGAGTCAGTGTCCATCGCTCGTCGCAAGTGTTGCACGTATTCCTCAAACACGGGATCATTTGGCACCGGCTTCTTGATGTCTGCGCCGAATTCAGTGACAGCTTCGTCGGCGATCTCATCGATGATATTATTGAATGCTTTTATGCAGATACTGAAGAAATACTTGTCGTCGTATTCACCGACTCCTAGAGACTCGGCTTTGGTATAGATTTCTATCAAAACGGGCTTCAAATCCATTAAATACTTGAGTCTCTTTTGGGCAAACGATTTGCTTTTCTCATTGATGAGTCCAGTGATGATCACCTGTTGGATGGCATCGCTCGTGTAGATCTGCTTCAGCGTGTCTTCGCCGGACATCTCGAGTTTGTCCATTAAATAGACTTTTTGTTGTAATGCTGCTAACAAATCCATTTCCATGATTACTGTTTGGTATTGTAATTGTTATCAAAATAAAATGAACTTTAATTTTTTTACTACAGATGTTTGGTTATGTTTAACACGTATACTAAAATAATTATTTGATCAAACATTACTAGTAATCACGTGTACTACTGAATTTAATACAGTATATTAACAAGAATAAATCAATTTAAAAATTTAATCTAATTTCTAATGTTGCCAAATTAATTACATATATTTTAGTAAATTTAAAAATATGGAAACATAGAGTCTAATGAAATGTTTAGAACTTTTTAAAACAATTATTATTTATGTACTTTTATAACCAGTATATTTTACTTATTTAAAGTTACTGTTAAAAGTATTATACATTAATGATTTTATTGAATTTATAGTTTGATTTTTTTAATAAAATTTAAAAACAGGATTTTCCTTAAATTAATGAAACAACTAATCACGAGAAGCGATTAGGGGATGGTGTGGTGGTATGAAAACGGAATCTCTTTATCCTCGAGACAGCGACCGTCGGATTCGTCGTTTACCTCATATTATACTTCCTTTGGTGTCATTTCACACAAATTATACACATTTTCGGGCCAAAGAAGAGGACAATACTCCGGCAGTGGAGGGCTGTCTGGTATCTGACAGTCAAAGAGTTGTGTCGTATTCGGAGTCAACTCTTCAGAGGCAAACCTCGGACTGACGACAGAGTCCGGGGTAATGGCGGTTAAGGTGTAGAGTAATGTCGCAGTAGTGGAGTCTTGTGGCGGGGGCTCCACCGGAACTAACTCCTCGCCGGTACCTACAGGTAGAAAGGAGGGCAGGGCCTGGGGGGCAGTTCCCCAGTGCGCTCAACCATGACTGCAACACATACTCATCCACGACAACGAACTCAGGAAAGGGAGACCTACAGCGGTTGGGTGGAGGGGTAGGTAAGTGGTCAGAGGGGCCCCGTTTGGCCACTCGTATATGGACTCTGTTTACAAGAAGTTTCAAGTGATCGGTGCCACCGGTGGTGGAACGGTAGACACAAGTTTCACCGCTTGTAACACTATTACACCTGTGTTTGTATTTATTTGCAAATAAATGTTTTTAATTATGAAATATCTTTTCATTTAATACCGTAATAACTGTCAAAACATTAAATAAATACACAGAATATTCTTAACCATTAATTTATTTCATAGTTAAATTTGATACGAGTATTAAATTATAGTAATATCACTAAAACACTTAAGAATTCTTGAAAACATACATTCATTTAGAAGTTGTGTTAATTTTCGAGCGAAAGTCTGGCAGAACTTCCGAAGTCCTTCTCTCCCCTCCAATACTGAAGATTCACTTTTGCTATTCGGTCGCAAGGAATGCGAGAATTCCTAACAATTTATACAACAGTTTCAGTCGTTTGCAAATAATTCATAAATTATTGTTAAATAAATGCTAATATAATTTTTGGTGTCAATTCTAACCAATTGATTGGCTGAAGGAAGGCCAAGGGTTGCATGACTTTGATTTGGTCGCTGTTATCACATATAAGTCGAGCTAAACTCGATTTACGAATTTCTCGCAATTGCTCTGTAAATGACTT